CCTGCTAAACGCTTCGACTAATTCGTTCGAAAGACACGAGAATATAGAGGGTTTCTTCCCCCTCCCCCCACCCATGGACTCGCGACACTAGCGGGTGTCGTTTCCCATGATTCCTCGAGGAGGGTGGCCGAAGAACGATTTATGGAGGGACAGCGGTGTCGCTGATCGAGGAGGATCGAGGGGTTCCTTAACACGTACCTGAGCCGAAAGGAAGATAAGGAAGAAGTGGGAAGAAGATTGGAAGCGTTGTTGAGAATGAGATAAGGAAGAACGTCGAGGGAAGAAAATTTTTCCAGATTGTTGATAAATATTATCCACGTATCGTCGAAAATTTCGCAGCAATTTTGGAATTATTTCTAAGATTAATTACAACGTGATTCAATACAAACGTTGTATCGACAGGTTTTAGGTTTCGAATTTCTGATTGATAATTATTCGATATTATCATGCGCGATAACACATTGTTTCTTGGGAACAATAGACGATGTATCGTCGCACGGAGAATAGTGGAATTTTTATTTTCGTCGATCAATTTCGATCCATCGATGTCGAAAATCAAATTCAGTTTTCTTCTCATCGACTTTTCCTCCTTTACTCTCCAGATTAGGGTGTACGTCGAATGACGATTCCATCCGACGATTCTCCACGGTCAGGAATCGTTTTCTCGTTAACACGGAAGGGAGAACGAAATATAATTCCCGATTCGCAGCCGGCCGCTTGCGAAAATTAATTGTACTCGTGACGCAGCCCAGGGCTTCTATCGAACCCACCTTTCCCTCCAAAAAAAAGAAAAACTCCTAATTATCGTTCCACGTGTGCGCAGAAACATCCAATACAATCTTATTGCACACGATGAAGGAGATGAAAAGGTCCGTTTCGATGATTTTTCCACGATTCGTATTCTTCTCCGTGCGAATGTTCCAACTTGAATTTATTATTTAAAGTCTAAATATAAATAGGAATATCATTGTTCACATTTCGAAAAAGAAATGTTTCTATCCCATCGATACAATTATCGAATCTAGGATAAATTAATAACTCGTATTTACTCAGGATTTCAATAGAAAAGAAGGAAGAAATATATTCATTATAATAACAACAATCGAATTATTTTTACGATTAAATCATTCGATAAATAACCGAACTGTGTTGCATATAAATATACAACACAGGTATGTCGAAGATATTAAAATTACGAAAACGATTCGGTGAATGTGCGGGAACGAATATACACGTATGTATACAAATACAGGAAGATCGTTAAAGAGGAACAATAACACAAAAACTTTGAAAGATCTAGTTCAGAGAAGCGATTTTCCACGCGAAACGGATCGTAACATATTTCAAATGGTGGGCGTACAAAAGAGCGTGTACGCGCAGTACAGAGTTCTGCAAACAAGCAGCCTGTTTTGAAACCGAAATCCGGCAACGTTGGCCGATAACGTGTCGCAACCCTCGATCGGTACGTTCGTGCGACGTGATGGTGGCGGTAGTGGCGTTGGTACACGTGTTTAAATCGGTATTAAGTGCACCGGCGGCACGGAACAGTGCCAAGAGGCCCGGGATTCAAACGGACGTTTATCTAATGTGTAATGGCATAATTTGCGAAGGAGGCTTAATCACATCAGTGTTACTTGGCCGTCCACCAGAGTGGAATAAGCTGATCGTGTCTCAGACTTCCCTCTTCCCTCGAGCGGCTCAACACCAAATTGCATTACGCTGGAAAATTATTATATGGGGACTGGCTCGACTTTAAACGACGCTCCTTCTCTTTCATTTTTCACTTTTTTCAATTCGATTAGGTCATTTTTCTAAAAATCTATTGTCTCACCTCTCCGAGACCGAGACGAGAAGGAACTCCACCTAAATTAAGCTAAATCGAGCGAACGAGCTTTCTTTTATCTCGCGATGTAAACAAATTGTTCGAAACGGTTGGGAAAGAAAGAAGGTTCCCCGAACGATCGTTCGCTCCGGTGGCGCGCAAGCGTCCCCCGTTGTCGTGCCTATAAACACAGTCGTCGTCAGGACGGTGGAAATAACGGCCAGCTGTTGGCAGCGTGCCCCTGTTGACATAACTTTGACAAAGTCGTTGACAAAGTCTCGGTTGCCAAGCGGTTTTTACGAGATCCCCCTCCATTTAAGCCTTCGATAAATCTGCCTTCGTACGGATCGTCGCCCACTATTTTCATCCGACGTGAAAACATCGCGCCGCACTTTACGCATCTCTCACACGAGAGATATACTCGCACGTGTCGTGTCAAATCTGGAATATAGGACTTTTTTTTTCTTTTTTCGGTGAATGGAGCAAGTTACACAGTTTTTCTGAATTATAATATTTGTATAAAATATTAAAATTTTAAATTATAAAATGTCGATTTTGTCCCTTCAAAGAATTTCTATATAATAAATATAACATGTACACTTTCGTGGCTCCATCATGTAGAAATTTCACGATGCGAAAGTTTACGTGATTTGAAAGTAATGTTTGATGTGTATAGATATATTGATCTGCCATAATATCTAAATTTATCGTAAAATTTGGATATAGGATTTTTCTATTTTTTTTTTTTTCTAGTGAAAATATAAGTAATGTTTAGAATATATAGAGCAAGTTTCATTTATATAGTTATATATATTTTCTGAATTAATATAATTTTAAAGAAATTTCTCATCGACGAAATATAACGTTTATACAAACATTTTTCAAATCAAAATTTCCCTGTAAAATACGTACTTTGACCACTTTCCTGGCCCCATCATAGAAATTTCACAATGCAAACACGAAAGATTTCCTTAATATTCGAAGTACTTTCGCAGACACGAATGAAAGAGGGCTTAGAGGCTGAGCGTGGCCCGGTTCCTTCGCGACTGTTTGTCAACCTGGTGGCCCTCCGCGAGCAAACAAACGTTGCGCGCCACCCGTTAGGCGACACACGACCGGCAGCACGCGCCTTCTACGCGACGATTATTAATAGGCCTGCTGCGGCACAGGCCGACTCTTCCTCCGTGGCCCCAGGGATGGATGCATCTCGAGATATCATCTCGATAGAGGAAAAATTTTCGGGGTGCCGGGTTTCAAGCGATCCTTGTCAAGCGGATGATAGGCTGCCTGGTGTCTGATCGGAATTCCTTAGGGCGAAGGCATGTTACTTGCTTACGGAGATCGCATTTTTTCCCCATCTTGTCCGCTATTTTCGAGCGTTTCCATCTTCTTTGGCGGAGGTAGAATGTTCTACCATGAATTTTTTGAACTTTGATCAAATTTTGGGGAAGATGAAATATTCTATTTTTGAATTTTTTGTATTGTTTGTCGAATTTTTATATTGTTTGAACGTTCGAACTTTGTGAAATAGAATGATTTATTATGAATTTCTGACTTTTGGAATTTTTGATTAAATTTTGGAGAGGATGAAATATTCTGTTTTTGAGTCGTTTCAAATTTTTATATTGTTTTTTATATTGAATTTTGTAAAATAGAATGATCTACTATGAATTTCTGACTTTTGGAATTTTTGATCAAATATTGGGAAAGATGAAATATTTTATTTTTCAGCCGTTTTTTGAATTTTTATATTGTTTGAATATTCGAATTTTGTGAAGTAGAATGTTCTACCATGAATTTTTTGAACTTTGATCAAATTTTGGGGAAGATTCTATTTTTGAGTCGTTTTTTGGAATTTTTGAAATTTTGATCAAATTTTGGGGAAGATGAAATATTCTATTTTTAAGCTGTTTTTTGAATTTTTATAGCGTTTGAACGTTCGAATTTTGTGAAGTAGAATCTCTATGGTCTGATCTATGAATTTCTGAATTTTTGATCAAATTTTGGAGAAAATGAAATATTCTATTTTTGAGTCGTTTCGAATCTTTATATTGTTTTTTATATTGAATTTTTATATTGAATTTTGTAAAGTAGAATGATCTATGATTTTCTGAGTTTTGGAATTTTTGAAATTTTGATCAAATTTTACGAAAGATGAAATATTCTATTTTTGAGTCGTTTTTTGAATTTTTATTGCTTGAACGTTCAAATTTTGTGAAGTAGAATGTTCTATGATTTTCTGAGTTTTGGAATTTTTGAAATTTTGGTCAAATTTTAAGAAAGATGAAATATTCTATTTTTGAGTCGTTTTTTGAATTTTTATTGCTTGAACGTTAAAATTTTGTGAAGTAGAATGTTCTATGATTTTGAGTTTTAGAATTTTTGGAACTTTGATCAAATTTTGAGAAAGGTGAAATATATTATTTTTGAATCGTATATTCTTTGAAATTTTATGAAGTTGAAGTAATCGATTGTTTTTGAATTTTTGAAATTTAAATATTGAATTTACCAGCTTTCGAATTATAGCATATCTTTGAAAATTCAAGTTTTTCGGTTTCGAATTTTAGAATTTAAAAATTTTTTTACTAGGTTAGCAAAGTATACGAGGGTGGCGAGAAATTTAAATCCGTCGGTATGTTAACGCCTCGGAAGTTAGTGCTCCGTTTGCTTAGGCGCCAAGCCATAAGTATGTCGCCACGAAAAATGAGTTTCGCTCGTATATCACGCGGAAGTGGATGACGAGTGTACGGTTTTCCAAAACCATATGCTATATCATTGCTCTAAAATAAAGCGAAAACTTGTGTAGCTCGTCTTCAACCCCTCGTTCCTTGGATATAATTTACGAGCCAACTGGCGTCGCGACTTGCCAAACATCGTGTGGGACACGAAAAATTATGTTAAACACGCTTTCTCTCCTCGTCCTTACAACAACACTAAAATTCTACCTATACCCCCATTATCACTCCATTTACTCCCCCCCCTCTTCTTTCTAAAATTAGACATTTAATATTTATATAAAAACTACTGAGAACTTTTGATTAAACCGAAAAATAATCGTTTCATTTTTTTAATGCCCATATAATATAAAACATTTGATAATAAAACTTTTCTTCTAAATAATTTCAAATAATTTATAAATAATCGATTTCACGCTCAATTTCTCAATTTCCGTTCGCAGACGATGCCCGACGACCTTAAATCGCTCAGTTCAGAATGTTCCCCGAGAAGACTTGCAAAGAAGATCGAGAGCTGCATCTACAGGTGAGAGCACTACTTACCTCTAAATACGAAAGAAATACACGAAGGATCGATGGAAATCGGATGATAAGTTGGGGTGGGTTTTCCTCGAGAAAAAGGGGGTTGAAGGGTCGAGGATCGTTGACCATGCTCGCCAAGCCCGAAGGCATTCGTTGATTACCGAGCGAGGAGGGATTTTAATTAGCGGCGTTTGCTCATCGCAAACACCGGCCAATCCGCCTCTCATCGCGAGCCGTTATCCGTTATGTACAAGCGCGATTTCAAAGTAAAAATTCTGGCCGGACGCTTTTGACTGTACGGCAATCGGGTCAACAACGAGTTTGCTCTAGAAGTCAACCCGCTTTGCGAGCTGCATTCGAGCCAGAGGGGAGGAGAATTCTCGATACTTTGTGGTGGGAGGGAATGTTGTCGGGAGACGGGCGATTTTTCCACCACGGATTAAAATTTCATTCGTTACGTCCGATTAGTGAAAAATATCGTGCGATCTAAGTGTCGAAAAATTAGATATTGAAATTTTGGAATAAAAGAAATTTAAAATAAATTCAAATGGAAATAAGATCTTTAAGGAGAATTAAGTGAATTAACCATTCACGTGTGAATTTAAATTTAAATGTTGCAACATCAAATATCGTGGATGGCAACTAATAAAACTACTTTCTTAAAATTAGATCAAAAAATTTGAATATTTTTGTAATGTTGGAAGAATTAGCTTACTAGATTCGAAAACTGTTACAAACCGTTATCACAACACGAATATCCATCATTCTGCCATCGATATATTAGTTCCACTAAGTGGCTCACAGTGAAAATCAACTGTTCTTTGAAACTAATGAAGCTACTTTCTTAAAATTGGACCAAAAAACTTGAATATATTTGAGATGTTGGAAGAATTAGCTTGCTAGATTATATAAACCTATATATATTAGTTCCATTAAAAATTTAACGCGAAACGATACAAACTATTTGTAATAAAAAATTCTAAAAGCACCAAAAATCTTCTACCTCTAATATTCATCCTCCAATCCGGAGGGAGGAGGTGCAAGAACCCTTTGACGTCGCAGAGCTCATTACGATCGAATTCCCCACGCTCGAGACGGGATGATATGAAACGACGAAACGAAGAGGAAACGACAACGGTCGACAAGTGGAGAAAAAGTGTCCGTGGCCGGTATTTCTGGCGCGCGAGGGTCCCCCCTCCTCCCCCCTCCGCGTCACACACGGCTGACAAATGAGACGTTGTCGTACGTTTGTTCAAATTACTGCCGGCATTCCGCGTACACACGCTCCACTCAACGAGCTTTGAAATATTACCCTCGTCACCTCGCTCCGTTTCCAGGCCCCCACGAAAAACCACCTAACGGTCGATCCTCCTCCGTAGTAGTAATAGCAATAATAGTTGTAGTGGTGGTAGAAGTAGTAAAAGTAGTGGTAGTAGTAGTAATACCCTTTTTTTGCCGCGAAGCAACTCGCGAGTACTCGGCCACTACTACTTCTTCTTCCTTTTCTTCTTCTTGCGAGCGAACACGTTTCTTCTATCCCGCGATTTGACACGAGCGTGAAGCGTGACCGTGCTCTCCTCTTCGTTTTCTTTCGCTTCGTTAGGTAGCGTACGTACGCAACACGGCGTGTACGCAATAAGAATCGCGATGGCGCTGGGATGGAGTGGGGGCAGATTGTCCAAGGAGACGTGAGATATTTACGATCGTTTTAATGGGATGGGGAAAGAGGTTGAATAGTTGTTGATCGTCCTAGACCAGCACTTTTTTTGCGCGCGTCGTTGGAGATTCGACGAGGAGCGCGTTACGAATATTTCGTTACGGTGGATTTGTACGTTATGTTTATCGTATAGATATACGAAGAGGATATTGAGTTTAGATATTGAATTTGCGCAAAATTTGAATCTATACACTATACGCGAAGAAGAATATATAATATATAATACGAAATATTCGAGGTGTAATTGAATAAGGCGGATCTCTATTTAAATTATTATTCGGATAGAGAATCATCGATGTCGTGTGATCGATTCGAAAGACTAGTTTCTAATCTAAATTAAAAAAAGTTATTCGGAATACTTAACGATTAAAAAAAAAACAAAAAACAAAAAATAATATCTCGAGATATACGTATAACGGCCGAGGTAAAACGAAAAGAGGAAAGGAAGACACACCGGAGAGGGGTAATTCCTCTTTCGTGACGGTGTACAGATTACACCGTGACGCTCTTGTCAAGAGTCGTCTCCTCGCGATGCTCGTGTTTCTTGTCGGCGACAAGTAATCCGGAATCAATTACGCCGGGCCCCTGAGGAACCGGCACGGTCACGGAGGGGGAGGAGGGGGGCGGCACGACGACCTTTTTAGAGGCGGGCTCGATCATTAATCACCCGGTTTTTAGCTGGAAATTCCCTCGCGCCTAGTTTACAAAACGAGGGGTCGTCGAAATCGCCCCGTCACCCACGACAAGGGTGGATGCTTCTTTTTCTCCTTCTTTTTTCTTTTTTTTTTCTTTTTTTTTTTTTTTTTTTTGTACCAAAAAATGTACCACGCCCACACTGCTTCACGTGCGATTACTCCAGGTAATCTCGCCCAAGTATCACGCGATCGACTCGTTCTCAATTACCACCCTCTTCTGAAGGACCGTCGTGGTTGTTTGCGGTCGAGGGATGATTCGCCTTGCGGTGTTCGACTTTTGCGCGTTCGTAAAGATCCAATTCGGAAAATTTTGGAAATTTTATGTAATTATTATTATTTTTACATATTTACATTACATTTTACATATTTACATTATACGTTATTTATACATTTTATTATTAGAGATATTGAAGACAGATTAAAATCGATTCGATCCATCTGTACTTGTTGTATTGCATTTGATAAACTGGTTATTTTGAAGATATATTTTATCGTGATAAATAACGTGAAAAATATCCGTATAATTGATATCTGCGATCTCGAAACGTTTACAGTTATTTATCCATGGAGTTCAACTGACAGCATTGACATTTACTCTCAGAGCTTCGATTATACCTTTAGAAACACACGTAAATCATTTTATGGGAAAATCCATTGACTTTTCATTTTTCGCATAGTTGATCACGATGTTGACTTCTCTATTTGACATTCGTCTGATTTAATACGTGATACGTAATATTCGTAACTGGTTTGCTGATAGAACGGAATCTAAGCAGAAAAGAATAATTACTCGCACGTTCGTGATTCGTTCGCATTATTCGTTGCATTCGATTCATTTTAGCAAGCGATAAAGAACAACATAGTTGCGTATTTTTGCGATTTTCGAGTTACAATTTTTATCGATGTTTATAATAGCAAAAAAAAAAAAAATAGATTGATGCAATAAGATATAACTTAGAGAAAAGGAGATGCGCGTATACTCTGGCACGACCTTGTCTTCGATTTGCAAACCGTGCGAGCATTCCGGCAGAAGGGAAAGATTTTTATTTCTCGGCCTCCCTCGATCAGTCACTGTAATTGATACTGTCTCCGCGAGACGAATGCTAATACGTTCGAGCGCAGAAAAACTCGAAAACAAATTGAATCACCGGGCCTCCTTCCACGAAGCGAAAGGTCGTCGAAGGAACTCGACCTTGTTTCCACTTCCACCTCGGCCATAATTAAATCCTTCGAACGTTCAACTCGTTCTATTTTATTAAACGGAACGGGGAAAAAAGACTCTTTAAATTTAATTTCCCAAAGAAGAGAAAATCTTACTTACTTACAACTTTGTCGATTCGAATTTATAACCGTCGTGTTATTAGTCACGTGATCGATATTGGTGAAAAATGGCGTCGTATATAAAAACCGAGATCACGTGACCATATTCAAAATGACATCCTATTTCAAAGAATAAAAAGAAATTCGAAGAACTTATTTTCCACATACAAAATGACGTTAGAAATTATTTAACCTTGATTGAATCGAGAATCGAGGATTGTCAAAAATGGCGTCGAAAAATATCTTCGAAACACTTTAAATATTTTAAAGAAATATAATCTATGTATATTTTTTCTACTCCTTGTGAAACGATATTAACGAATCGTGACAATTCGAAACTATAAACCGAGGTCATGTGATCGTACTCAAAATTCTATTTTGAAGAATTTATTTTAATACAAAACGATATTAGAATTCGAAATTGTTTAATTAATTAAACTAATTAATTATATACCTATAATTAAATCGAAAATCGAGGATCGTCGATATCGAAAAATGGCGTCTACGAAACCATACTAATTCGATTCCGTTTTACGTAGCGGTAGAGGGGCAACGGACGGATTACGACTCGATTTCGCGTATTAATGTTCGTTTCGCGGACGCATCGCGCGACGCGGAAAAATTGGAGCGATTTGCGGTCGAACGAAGGCGGTTCCGAGAAAAACTCGGCTCGAAACTCGATTTCACCCGTAATACCGACCGCAAATCGTTTTCATTTTTTGCCGGCCAACCTTGCAACCAGCGCGCCCACCCCCCTCGAATCGATCTCTCCCTCGCCCGCGCGAGAGATGAAACGAAGACAAGACGCGTCGAAAATGCAAAATGTTTCGCTTTGATTATATTACCGCGCCCGTGCTTTACGGAACGAGATGGACAATCTTCTTTTTGCCGATAAATTTGATTAACACGTTCATTGACGATTCATTTTTTCTTCTTCTTTTTTTTTTTTACTTGTATAAAATTACTCTCTTTCGATTCACTCGAAGAAATATTCAAATATGACATCGAGAATTGACTATCTTATTTACTAATAGATCAGAGATTAGATGTACCTCTCAATAGATATTCAAAGACAATTATTCGCATTGTTGGAAAAAAATTTACCATCAAATAATATTGCTCTAACCAAAAATTCCAGTGAAGGGAATTGTCATACATTGTTACGTAAGCTTCGTTACGGGTAAGACACGTGTCGCCAAAGGAAAACTCGATCGACAGGCAAGATTTCGAGATCGGTTTACACGAATCGAAAAAAGTCTGTCCCGTCGCGTT